TTTTTAACTTAAATGAAGGCTTCCCCCTTGTGGTTATGGTGCAATTTACCCCTTGCCTAAAATCCTTTCCTGTTCTCAGTCTCCTTTGTGTCTCCCCATACTGTCCTTGTGTGCTGTGAGCCAGAACTATGACATGGGAGAATGGTAGCCAATGTGGGCTCTGTTTGGTGGCTGGCAGCTGCAGATATTTGCTTGCCTGGTTGAGGGCAGGTGGGGAATCGCTAGGCTAAGAGCAGCTCGGGTTCATGGCCTAACTGTGGGTTTTCATGGCTCTTGATTTTTTTTTTAAATTTATTTTTTATCATACTTGCCTTCCCTGCCATCTGTATTCAAATTTTATTCTCAACAGTTCTGTGGCATAGGGGAACATGAAGGATGCCCTGAAACATTCCCATATGTATAAAGGGACTTTGATGCAAAAATAGTGCATGCTGTATACCGGAGTTCCAGGCTTTCACTTCCAAAGTGGCTTGTTTGGTTGCCTACATTCCTTTGATGTCTAGGATTGAAGCCAGATTTGGGTGAAAAAGGGTATATAAACCTACTGACATGATATTTTGAGAGAAGTGTGCTTACTTCCCGTAATCCTGTTTGTTCAGTTATTTACTGCTACCTTATGGTCTCTAACACCAACAATGGTGTGTGCCAGCCCATGCCTTGCAGGTGGAACTATGCTGTAGTTCTTGAAGTTACCACGCAAAGTTTAACTAAAGTCTGCTTTTGTGATCTCCATTTAAGAAGGGAAAGGATGTTTTTAAAGGTTGGTTTTTTTTTCCTTTGTCTAGAAATATCTTTGTATGAAAAGACTTCTGATAACAGCACTCAATCTACCAGAGCAAGGTATTGCATGTGCCAGAGAAGGTGGCTAAAATGCACAAATCCGTGCTAGGAAAAAACCCTTCAGATAATTGTTAGACCTGTGTCTCTTGCCTTGAAATGCACTGGATCCAAGGTTACTTTCTGAAGAGTTGCTGTAACCCAACAAGCTTCATAGGTTAGTGCCTTGGAGTGAAATGTTCTGGCCTGTCTTCTGCCAGGACTGAAACCACAGGTTCGTAATGAGGCATCTTAGCCTTACAACAGATGAATTTTAATACTGGCTGATTAAAAAATGCCACTGTCCTGGTTAGAACGGCTGGGACCAATTCATCCCTGGATGGGTGTA